CATCTGGCCACCATAGCTGGGTGATAAGGAGGAACTGAACAATGGTTGGGCCTGCTCCATTCTTTATGTCCTCATGTGGGGATGGAGGGAGGTCTGAGGGCACACAAGGTGCATGCATGGCCCCATTGGACATTGCTGACTGAAAGAATCCAATCTTGAGTGCATGAGGTGCTTGCAAATGTGGACAATAGACTTCAGTACTGATGCATAAATGGTTATCAGAAATTATTATAATATATTCTTAGAATTTTAGGTCATTGTAAACTTGCCTGTGACTTTCCTGAATTTTAAATACCACTTGTGATTGCTTACATACACATGATGCTTGTAGAATAGAACACCACCACTTATGTTTTTGGTTGCTTATTCTATTAAATGACATGTTCAGGCGAATTTAAAAAAATGCAGGTTTCTGCTTTCTTGTGACACAGTGAGAAGCCAAGTGTCAGGGAAGATAACACCTTTTTGGCTTTTTGCACCCACATTGGTTTACACAGACTCTAATATGCAGCTTTTATAACTTCTATCTTGCTTTAACTTTCTGAATTATTTTTATGTGATGTTTTGAAATGTATATAAGCATTGACTATTGTGATTTGTGCTTAAAATTATTATTTTAAAATATTTAATAGAAGTCTTTAGTTACAAGTTGTAAATATACTGCAAATGGCATGCCATAAATCCAAGTATCAGAGGGGTAGCCGTGTTAGTCTGAATCTGTAAAAAGCAACAGAGGGTCCTGTGGCACCTTTAAGACTAACAGAAGTATTGGGAGCATTAGCTTTCGTGGGTAAGAAACTCACTTCTTGCATCTGAACAGTGTTCAGAGAAATTTCCACCACAAAGAGAAAGACAGTATAATTATCAAGTTCAGGAAAGATTATAATCCTACTGCACAGGTAGTAGCAGATCACCGTTCACTAGCTGAAACTGTTCCCAAGACCAAACCATGAAGGTGCTGAGCTAATGAAAGGATGACAACCAAAAATTTTGAATCCAGCCAAGCCTGAAAGGGGTGTTTTCATCCTTCCATGTAGTTACAGAAAGAAAAGGATGTAAAAACCCTCTGAATTAAGCAAACTCTTTCTGCTCCTATCCTCAACTTTACAGCATTGACTATAGCCTCTCATCTCTGCTTAGCTTGTCTCTACAAGCAAGCCAGCTAAGGAGAAAACAGCCAAAGAGCAGCATCAAGAAGAAGCAACCTTCCAGTTCAGATGACAACATCATCAAGATTTCAACATGTATGGTGAAATGAAGTTGTAAAGCCCTGTCAAAGGATTGCATTTCATGTTTTTCTTGTAATGGTTTTAATGGTACTAAAATGCTATTTGACAGACACGATGGGTGAGGTAATATCTGTTATTGGACCAACTTCTGTGGGTGAAAGAGAGAAGCTTTTGAGCAATGCAGAACACTTCTTCAGGTCTGGGAAACGTAGTACTTGGGGGTCACACTAAATACAAGGTGGAACAAATTGTTTAGCATAAGTAGTTAGCACGAATTCTAAGGGACCATTCAAGGTGAAGAAGCCCACTTGTCTCTGTCACCAACAGAAATTGGTCCAATAAAAGATACTACTTTACCACTTTCTCTCTCTAATATCCTGGGACCAATATGGCTACAACACTGCAAACATTGAAATACTATTGTCATTTAAGATATAACAGCTTCTTCTGTTAAACCAAATTATTTAGCCTATTGTTATGCTGCATGATTGAAATATGACCATCTATATCATTGATATTGCCACCGTTAGACAATTGCAACAAATCTTGTACAAAGCATGACATGTAAGGTGTCAATGGAAAAGTTATGATTTGCTAAGTATGATTATCCTGTTTATATGCATGTATCATTTTTGTATATGGAGCTATGAATATTGGCTATGCACTGTTATCTTACATATGTGCTGTATTCCTGGGTAACACCCACAAGAGAAGATGTATATCAAGGCTAGACAGCTTTGAGTTGATGGCCCATTACAGACACTTAGCTCTCACAATAGGCCATAGAAGAAACTCATTCTGCCCACACAGTTCTTCTGACCAACACCTCAGCCTCCAAGGGGCCAATGGCTACCCTCTGTGAGTCATCAAGCCATATAAGGACATGTGATATGCTCATGTGACCCTGGACTCCATCTTGTGCCAGTAACTTTCCACAAACTGGGCTGTGAGCTTTGTTTGAAACATAAAATTTCCAGGCACATGGCAAAGCATATAAAAGACCTCTGTGATGACTCCATTTTGTCTCTTTCCTGCTCTATTCTCTGGATTTACAACTAAAAGGAGCATATTGAACTATGGACTGAGGACCTTCCAATCTTTTGAAAGTTACCAGAAAGACTTTACAAGCCAGCAGTCTATAACATCACTGCTACAAACCTGATATAACAACATTGTGATTACTGTATGTATATGATCTATTAACCCTTTAACTCTTTTGTATTAATAAACCTTTAGATTTAGTTACTAAAGGATTGGTAGCAGAGTGATTATTGGAATATTCACCTGGCTAAGTGGCTGATCTCTTGGGATTAGAAGGACCCTATATGTGATGAAACTGGTTTTCAGTAATCACTCATCATAGAGCCCAGTGTCTGTGTGGTGAGATGAGCGTTAAAATGCCTAAGGAGACTGTATTTTGACTTCTTGTTAACCAATTTGGTGAGACAGAAATTTACTTTGGTCACTGGGTTAGTATGTCTAATAATAGAATAACCACCAGCTTAGGGTGATTCTACCCTATTTCTCAGCTGTTTGTTCTGAATCTGATATTCTCAGCTGTGACCCACTGAGGCACAGTGACACCTATGTATTCCTGAACAGGAGACATAAATTAACATTGGTAAACAGAGAGAAATAGTGGGATTTAATTTGGATTTAAGGTTTCATTGATTTGCCTCTTTCAATGAAGCTCATTGAATGACTTCTTTTGAGTAACTGATTGAAATATTATTTTTGATTTCATAGGCCGTAGTTAAGATTACTCACTTTTGTCCATTTATAACCTGTTATGTTATCCGTGATAACTCAAAATGGGCTCACCTGCCCTTAAACAGAAGTATTTTGCCTATCTATAAACGGTTTTATTATCTATGATACACTAAGACAAGGCTCACTACCAATTTTGGAAAATAAGGTACTTTGGCCCCCTTCCAAGGGTAGACCAACTCTGAAAAGGTGTAATCTCTGTCAAAAGCTCTCCAGAGAGAGACATATGGACAAGATTGTAACTGAAGTAACCATTGTTAGTTTGTGTTCTGTTTTGGTTTTAATTTTTTCCCTTTCCTTAACAATAGTCACAGTTCATAATTATGATTATTTTGCTTGTCTTTAGTTGTGGTATCTGCTAAGGCCTGGCAAAGAACCTCATATGCCTAAACAATGGGAGTCATGTCCCTGCACTGGCATTAAGAGAGACATTTATTATGATTTGGCCTATTATTTTGTATTACTCAAGGCTATGAAATTTTAGTAATTTTAAAGATGAAATTACTTGGTGCTCAGCAACTTGGAATAGTCCTTTCTACCCCACATGCACCCCAAAAATGGACTATATTTGGACAATCACTGGAAGAATTGGGGAGATATGGGAATTCAGTGACTTTATAAAAACTGGAAAGTAATAACCAGTTAAAAGGAATGGGTGACTACTAGGACGGGGGGATTTAGGCTTATGGTAAGATGGAGAAATGCTACATAAGGAAGAAGGAAAAATTCAAGGGGTTTGGGTAGGAACTCCCTTGAAGGTAGGTAGGAAAAAAGTGCATCGCCTTCTTCACACGACTCTTTTGCCTCTGGTGTCTATTTAGGGCCAGATTCTGATACACTCATTCATGATGAATAGTACCTTATCTCCACAAGACCCCACTGATCCATTTGTAAAGTAAGGTGCTACTTGTGTAGCCCAAGGGGCTAGCTTTAGCATTTATTTTATTTGGCAGTAATGCAAGGAACTTACAGGCCTGTAACCTATAGCTTAAGACTTGCAACCTGTGAACTGTGGCACAGATAAATGGCCTAACGGTCACCCCTAAGTTTTGGGGAACTAGAAATAGTGTGTGTAAGGGGGGATTTTGTCCATAACGACACCAGCCAACGACAGGAACACGAGCTAACACTGGCTTTTGGATAGAACATCTGCAGATATCTGACCACAAGAGTACCACAGCAACGAACTGATGTATATGATAATAAGTTGAGATCATTATTATACTAACCAATAGGAGAAGGGCACCTTAACACTAGTACGGTGAAGGAATACAAATAAAGAAGAGGGGGAGAAACCCCTATTGAATATGCATTAGACGTAGTGGCATCAGTGTAATATATTATAAAAGTTGCATTCAAGCCTGTGTGTGGGAGAAGAGAGAGGTGTAGCCCTTGGGAGGTGCCAGGATGATGGCCACTGGAGGTAATGAGGATGATGATGATGAAGGGAAAGATAATGGTTAACATTTTCAGGTTGTTCTGCCAGGGATGGTGTGAGTATATGGATGTTCAGATGTACATTCTGTATTATCTCTATCCACTTTACTGGGTTCGAGTGTTTGTGACTTTGCTAAATGTATTAATAAACTATTGTAGAAGGGTTCCTACAGTGTGAGTGTTGCAACTGTGCACATCGGAGCTCACAGCTATAGAGTAATTTTAATAATACTGGGCCTGATCTTGGAACAAAAACTTGTCAAATCTCAGAGTGATAACTGAGAATTCTTAAGTAATCAATAGAATTAATACATAATCTATGGATCGGGCTACACTTGGTATGAGTAAGGATATCAGAAACAGGCCTTTTGAGTGTTATATAAGTAATGACTTCCAGCTCCTTTCAAGGACCGCTCCAATTGACCACATTGCTGTAGCATAGCCTGGATGTGACAAAGGCGTGGGTGACAGCTGCATGGACCACATTAGAATACAGGTTATAGGTTCCTGGTTTTAGACTAAAAAACAGGATAAAATATAAAGGTCTTAGTTTTTCACAGCACTTACTACTGGCAGTCGGAGGGGGCCCACTGTCAACACTTCCTCCAAAGCCTTTTAATTTACAATCTGGAGGGGCCCAACCAAAATCACAATGGCAGTTTTTCTTACTGTTGCACAGCTGAAATAGAATAAGGGTATAAATAACATGAACCAAATGAGCAATTTGATGAAAATACGGCCTTTCTGAGCTCTTTATACATTCTAACTGCCCTGTACTCTATGGCATCATACTAAATAAAAAACAGAATGGTAGTTTCTTAGCTGATACTTTAAGTTTCTCCAACTCCCTTGATAGGAGCACCAAGATAACTAGTTATCCAGAGTCTCCATTTTTGGAGGGAGGAGTCAATATACTGACTTTGGTTTATTAGTGTGCAATCTTATCATCTAGTGGCTGACCAAAAGATCTAAAAATGGAACCAATTTCTTTAACCACTTAAATCAGTTCTCCTTTAGTTTAAATTGTATAGGGCTATATTTTGGAGCTGAAAGACAAAATGTAATGGAATCACTGCATACCCACTCTGGTAGGTATCACCAAGCCTTTGAAAATAGAGTACATGATAGAGCAAACTTCTCCTCAGATGAGAAAATCCAATGTTTAGAATTATTAATTTATTATAAAAGACATTTTAATGTTATTGAAACGTTTAGTGAAGCCTCAAGAGGAAAGATAGGAAGCAAGAAAGCAACAGCAGATTGCATATGGCAGAGTTGGTTTCTTCCTTCTCTCTGGCCTGTACTATAAAAAGTAGAGAACTGGACATTCTTATCTTGGAGGAGTATGTTTTACCCTCAGAGCCAGGGGAAGCTGGTTGTATTAACCTGTAAGCCTTGAACACCATTTTCAGCCATGCAAATGCTATTGTTTCTATTTTTGCACTACACCATGTGGTGCTAGGAATGCAATTTGAAAAGCAGGTGTTGGCTCATTGGCTGACGTAAAGTAGAGAAGGAGCCATTGGATTATAAAACAGGTTTTCTACTTCTTGGAGTAAATCGAGGTGAGGACACAATGCTCGTTATTATAATTTAACATTTACTTTGCAGTAGTGCCTAAAGGACAGAAGAAGGGTGGACTCCCATTGTGTTAGTTTATGCACAAATATGTGATAAATGACAGTTTCTGCCAAAAAAGCATGGTTAGAAGTTGGTTCAGCTCAGGTTAATGCTCAGTAGTACAGTGTCCTCAGGCAGGAGCGGTGCCAGGGTTTTTGGTGCCCTAGGCAGGGGTCCTTCTGCGCTCCCGGTCGTCGTTGGCAATTCTGCGGCGGGGGGGTCCTTCCGCGCTCCCGGTCTTCAGGGAACTTCGGCGGCGGGTCCCGGAGCGAGTGAAGGACCCGCCGCAGAATTGCCACCGAGCGCGGCAAAATGCCGCCCCCCCAAATCGTGGTGCCCTAGGCAACCGCCTAGGTCGCCTAAATGGAAGCGCCGGCCCTGTCCTCAGGTCAGGCCAGAAATCAGCCAGATGGGTTTTTATACTGTAGAACTAGGTTTTAAGAAACATTCTTAGTAAATATTTTTTTTTACTAGAATTTCATGCACCACATTTATTTTTCTAAGGTTTCCCAATTAAAATCTCTCCATTCCCTTTAATCAGGACAGCTGAATAATCTGGGTCCTCTTTTCTTCAGGGTGTTAAAGAAGAGAGTGATTGTCCCATTTTCAGGCTCCAATCCACACACAAAATCCTCTCCCCTCCATTTGGGCAGAAGCCGTGCTTCTTCTTCCCAGGAGCACCTGCTTCCTACTGAATCCCTTAATCTCTTATGGCTGCCTCTGTCAGTACCATTCAGCTAGCTAATGTGCTACAGCCCTCGCATCTTCTTCTCTAGCCTGGCACTTAAGGTGATCTTTACAGGCTGGGCTCTTACACTCAGCCCACTGAAGAGTTTAACTGCCTCACAGTCCAGCTAAAACTAGGGCACATACATCTTGGGCTTCTTGTCCCAGCTTCCCATTTGTGTGTGTTTGATTTAAATAGTAATTGCATCTGTGGTCTGCATAGATCACCTTACAGACGGGCATCTGACTGCTAGACACCAACTCCTGAGAATGTCGGCTGCTCAGGCTGAACATTGTCTAACTGGTTGGTGGGTAAGTAATGGACTGACTGTCTCATGTTGCTTTTTTAATGAGCTTCACAGTTCCATTAGTAGCTACTACAGGAGCTCTCCTTTATCACAAGCTGTAGAGACTTAGATTTTTTTGGAGCCAAAGGATCAGGGTTCTAGTCCCAGCTCTCCAAGCCTTATAGTTATGTCTAGGAAGTATCCTATCTAGTCTGTGTCACGCTGGGACTTTGGACAGTTTACCAGGAATCCCAGTGACTCCACTGCCATTGAGGTGATATTTAAAACTTTGCTGCAGTGATACACATAGATATTGCATTTCACTGGAATTTGAGGACAAGTTAAGTCATGCTGTTTCTCAGTTATTTCAAATCCTTTTGGAATGAATGACAATGTTCATCTCTTCCTGATTCCTCCCATTAATTTTGGTGTGTAAGCTAAGCTACTACCTACAAATAACAGCCCTTCATCCTGCAGAGCAAATTTCTCCTTTAAAGTTAGCACAGGATAGACTTAGGCTATGTCTTCACTACGGACCTTACAGCTGTACCATTTCAACTGCCAATGTAAGGTGTCCCGTGTAGCTGCTCTTTGCCAGCAGGAGAGAGCTCTTCTGCCAGCATAATTAAACCACCCCTATGAGCGGCATTAGCTATGTCAGCAGGAGAGGACTTTAGTTAACCGATATTTGCAAGCCTCACACCCCTCTGTGAGGAATATGGGTGTAACCCTTCTGCCCATCTAAGTTGGCAGCAACAAGGGCCGGGTTCTGTATCTAGGGGTTCCGTTTCAATAACACAATGCAAACCGGCTCGAGCCCCCACCCAGTGACCTGGGACAATTACATACCACCCCCCTGGGTACCTCTAAGAGGCAATACTTCCCCTCTCGCAAGCACGGAGTCTGAGTGTAGCAGAAAATGTTTAATAACATGAGGTAAACGACATCAACATAAAATTGGAAAAACACCATAAACAGGATTCATAACACAAACCATGAGCAAAACCCACCCCAGCAAATTGGGCTGTGTCCTTTCCCTTTGGTTCTTGAATCCAGCAACCCAAAAATCACCCAGAGTCCCCAAAGTCCAACATCCCCAAAGTCTCTGGGGTCCAGCAACCACCCAAAGTCCCAAAAGTCCAACAACCCCCAAAGTCTCTGCCCCTGGTCAGTGCAGCCCCAGAGTAAAAGTGGGGGGGCACGCAGAGTGTTAAGGGGCACCTTACGTGATCCAAGGCTGGCCAGCTGTCTGTTTCTCCGTGGGGGTTCCGCCGCAGCCTTTACCACGAGCCAGTCCACTTTCCTGCCATCCCACGAACTGCTCCACTCTACAAGCTGCTCCGCTCCACTCCACTCCGCTCTGCTCCGCTCACCGACCTGTGAGCCGTTCCAGCCGTCCCCGCAAACAGCTCCGCTTGCCGTTCCTTGGGCCACTCCAACCGGCCCCGCAAGGCTCCACACCGCTCGCTGCTCCTCCAGTCGTCCCCACAAATTGCTCCGCCAGCTGCTGAGCAATATAGCTTCAGGCTCCCCCACTAGTTAACATAGCCTCAGTGATCTCAGCTCTTACTAACATCAGCTCTTTTGTGATTTCAGCTCTTAGCGATTTCAGCTCATAGTATAGTAGGGGAGCCCCAGTGCTGGTGCACCATTGGCCCAAAGTGAATTCAGCTCAGCAGCCTGTAACTAGACTCCTAAGGGAATCAAAGTTAGCTCTGACATTCAACAGTGAAGAGAGGAGGTGGTGCAATTGGTGTTTCGGACCCTCAGAGGGGGCCCATACCATCAGATACAAATACCTGTCCCCATCCTCTCTCCATTCACTGGGTTTTGTAACCCATGCCCCTTGTCAAGCAAGTGCTACTTAGGTAATGGTGAAGGACTCACTCAGTCCTTCTGTCATACAACAGTTCCACTGGCCTTGATTCACAGAATCAGGGTAACAAAACTTTATTCTTCCTGCCCCAATAATAGAGAAACTGGGGATCCCACACCAGCCAAAGTAACCACTTTCAGTTGCTGTGTTTCCTGCCAGGCGAGTGGGTGTGCCTATGCAAACAAGATCAGCCCCTGGAGTTCTTTTCCACACTCGCCATAATTCACCACCAGATGTCAGGGTAGAGCTCATCCTGACTCTGCTTACATGGGTTTTACTGTATCCATTAGTAAACCAAGGAATCCCAGGGGATAATGATGGTTGAAAATGTTTTTTGTTTTTTTAATCACTTTCTGTGGTCCTGGAGATTATGATCTTTGCTGTCAGATGGAGACATCAGCTCAATTTTTGGCTGAGTAAAGTGAAGTGGTCCTACACTCAACTACACAGTATTTCTCTTCCTTCCTCTCTCTGTGTGTGCAGCCTCCCCAAAGTCTGTTCCACAGTTGTTGTTGGGGAAACAGATCCTTGGGGGAAAGGGGGAGAAGAAAGAGCCCCTGCCACAGGTGGAGTGGGGGGAGGGAAGGCACAGCATGGAGGGTAATACAGAGTCCCTGGTATGAGGATTGGAAGGTGGCGCATAGGGAGCTTATAGAGAGAAATGGAAGATTTGAACCGGTGGATTCTCGCTTGGACCAGGGGGTTTGCCAGATAAACATTAACATACTAATACGTTAAAAAGGGGTGTATAATTATTTAGTTTTTCCCCATCAGTTTTTCTTTCTTCTCGTGACAGTTTCTGGAGTTCTTTTTCCCTAGGTACTTGTAGGAATATAGACTTGGTGAACTACAGTTTTAAATTGAATTTGAATGTTAGTGCAAGTGACAGGCCCAAAGCTTGTGACCAAACAAAATGAGAAGAAAAGAGGCTGAAATGAGAAGAAAGGATGTTTGTGTTAAATTTGTAGTGACCCTGGAAATAACAGTATTATCTTATTTAAGGTTTCGGTTCAGATGCAGTAAATAATTCTTTAAAAATAAAGAAAACAACATTAATTGGGTACCAGGTGCAGTAAATTATTGATTACATATACTGATTTATTATAAAGAACTGCTTAATCCAGGAGCTGGGAAGGTATCACCCAAGTCTGATCCTATTGTGCATATTTGGGCATGGCTTATAACTATATCATTGCTAAAATATAAATGTGTATATGCTGGTATTTGTGTTTTGAATGTAATCAAACACCAACTGGCCTTTAGACTAATAAAGGAATACTTGAGTAGAAGCTAAGCTATGGTGAACATTAGTAAATGTATTAGGAAAATTATTTCCAAAAGTAGTGCTTCAGCATCTCAGTCTTCTATAGTGTCACCATACCTTTCTCTCCTTCCTTAGAATGAATTATATCTAGCTTATATAGGTCTAAAACTCCCCCATACCCATCAGGCTCTGAGGGGACTTCTTAACTGGAGACAGCTGCTTGAGGTTTTTTCCCCCCCTTCCCCTCTGCAGCAATTCACTCTAAAAAAGGGATGCAAGATGGTGCGAGCACTGAGCTTGCTTCTGGAAGCAATGAAGTGTGCAACCCTCTACAATTTCTAAATCCTGTCATGTATTATGCTCCTCTTAGGGCTATTGTTGAAGACTCCAAGAAACTTTAATCTTGTGCTATGAGAATGTAACACCTGAGTTTCTTGTTCTTCACTGACTCCCCAGCTGACTGTCAGTGCAACATATAGAAATAATGTATTGGCAATTAAATCCCAAATGGCATGAGATCTGGCTATTTTGCAGATCTGACTGTATCATGTGTCATATGTGGCTTTACATCAGATGGTGTATAGTTGATAAGATTCCTTCTCAAAATACATTAATTACTGCTTTTTAAGATCTTGTCCAACTAAAATAATCTTATTAAGTCTAATGTGAAGCATCACTTGTAAGAGACTAAGTTCAGTGCTCTACGTATTATACTCTGAAAATCTGAGGATGTTAAAATCTTTCCTACTTACCCCTCTGTTACTGCATTTTGTGTAATTACAGTCGTAATCCAGAATTTTTATATTGACACATGTCCTGTTTATACATATCTGTAAAAGTTCACAAATAAATATATATTAGATAATAGGATGACATTAGGAAAGCCTGTATTCTGACTGGTTGTTCAATGTGGAAACCACGGTACAAGTCGAAAAGAAAGGTTAATGGTAAATAACTGTTTTTTCAAAATTTTGTAGCACAGAGTCACACTCTCGAGAGTGTGTATGACCTTGGCACCACAGTCAAAACCCTCTAGAAAGCAGGAAGCATTAAGGTCATGTATGTGCTCATTTGCAGAACAGAGTTACTTCCACTTCTTCAGAATCCATATCAGAGACTCTGAAGAAGAATCCATATCAGAGACTCTGAAGAAGTCGAGAGGGTGTATCTATTTGGACAATCTACTCAATGAGTCAGTTTCAAGCAAATAGCATTTCTCCTTTAAGTATTTTTAGTGTAAAGCCTTGCACTATTGCTTTTTTGAAATAGGTATCAGCTGCCAGTCAAGAGAGTAATGCTGGATGAAGGTAGGAATTAAGTTTTAAGGAGCAGCTATAGGTGGTAACAGCTAAAAGTCATCCAGAGCCTCTTGACTACTGCAACATCCTTTTTTCTAGTGTCTCCACATTGCTCCCCATGCATTGAAAATTATCATCGTAGCTCAGTTTTCTCCCCCTCCTTTGTATTCCTCTACTGCCTCCCCCTTTATTCATTGCATTGCATTTACATTTCTTATCTTCACCTGTTACCTTGTCACCTCGTCAGATTTAATCATTTTGGCCATATTTCCAGCATTACTAAATAGACAACTAGCCTGTCATTTATATCCTGTGCCTTTTGCAGGATTAAGGAGAATACCTGCTGGGGAGATTCCCAATGAGCAGCTGCACAAAAGAGAATCTCTTGACTATCAAATGGACATTTAGGATTAAGATTTGTGCTTTATAAATCAATCCATGGTTGAAGATCATATGGGGAGGTGAAAGCAAGGAGGTGAGTAGCTTCTGGGTCGGATGGGACATCATCCTGAAATTCCTAGGAGATGAGGGGAAAAGAGGTAGGTCCTACTTCAAACTACAGATTTTCTTTGAAAAGTTACCAGCGCCGAAGTTAAAGAAACTGTACAGAAGAAGAGATCACTCATCTTGTGCAGTAACTGCAGTTCTTCAAGAGTTGCATCCCTATGGGTACTCCACTTCAGTTGTGCATGCACCTCATGTGCCTTTGATTGGAGACATTCAGTAGCTGTACCCATTCGGCACATTCATGTGCTCCAGACATCCTCGTGCCCGGTACCAAGAATACATTGAGCTGTGCTGGGGAACTGCCCTCAGTTCCTTCTCTACCATGAAGGCCCACAAGATGAAACTCAGAAGCATAGGTGAAGGAGGGAAGGTAACAGAGCTTTGGATTTGAGTCCTATACTGAAGACACAACTTCATTTGCCAATTGCAGCATGTGATCTGGTTGCGTGAAGCAACGCATAGTGTTGGCTGCCGCTCCACACATTTCAGCCACTAGAACATCTTTCAATAATGCTCTAGATAGAGACTGGGATCTTGCAGAATGGGCTAGCACCTCAGAAGAGATCCACCTTGAGAAACTTTGAATGGAGACTTTGGATTCCCTGGATCTGTCCATAAATGAAACAAACAGTCTGGGAGACTTTCAAAAGGGTTTAGTTTTTTCCAGACAGAAGGCTAATGCCCTTCTGACATCCAAAGCATGGAGAACAATTCCCTTCCTGGTCTGGTATGGTTTCAGGAAGGAGACTGGAAGCTGAATAATCTGGTCAATATGGAATTCAGAAGATACCTTTGGGAGAAACTTAGGATATGGTCGTAATGAAACTTTATTCCTGAAGAATACTGTAATGGGAGGGACTAAATTAAAGCCCCACTGTGACAGGTTCCCTATGTACTCGCGGCACCTCCTGCTGGTCGCTCTCAGCTGCACCCTCCTCTTCTCTCTGTAGGCAGCCTCTCTTGCTCTCATTGCTGCCACTTCCAGTCCATGGCTTGGCACTCTGGCCAAGTTACCAAGTCCCTCCCCTTCTGGGGAAATCAAAGTCTTTCCAGCTGGCGGGCATCTCCTGCGTCCTGAGTCACTACCCAGTGTCTGGTAGGGGAACCCAGGCCCACCCTCCACATTGGGTTCCAGCCCAGAGACCCTATTATATATAGCCGAGGCCTGTCCTGCCTGTGACCTTGCTGCTTTTTCTCTGAGCTTTTTCCTACCTAATTAGCTCCCCCGCTCTCTGGGTTCGCCATCTTCCCTATTACCTCCTCTCAGGAAGTCTGTGCAGCTTGCCTTCCTGCAGCCACAAACACTCCTTTTTCCTTCCATGGAGTTACTGCCCTTACCTAGCTGCCATGCCCCTCTCCAGCAATCTAGCTTTCTACAGGCCCCACATGTCCTGTCCAGGTGAGCCTGTTCCTCATCAATTAACTCTCTGCCTTGCAGCCTAATTAGTAGCTTAGAACCATCTGGTCCCACCCAGCTCTCGATGGGCCAATGTGGGGTGCATGCCTGATAACACCCTAGTTCCCCAACTCTTCATGCAGAAGTGATACCACCCGGAAAGCCATCTTCAGGTGATGGCTCAAAGGGGGGGTCCATGTGACAAATAAGGTCCAAGTGTAGATCACATAAAAGGGTGGGTTCTCTAATTGGTGGAGAAATGGTTCATCAGCCCCTTAATTAATCTTGCTGTTAGCGGGGTGAGGAAACACTGAGAATCCCTCAACGGAGGAACGAAAGTCAGTTATTGCTACCAAGTGAACCTTGACACAACTCATGGAGAATCTTGACTTTTTCAATTCCAAAGACTAATCAAGATCAGCATAGAGGAAAAGTGTGAACAGGGGAAAACTATCACTGGATAAACCTGTGGTGAAATCTCTTCCATTTCTGAAGCTAAGTGTTTTGTGTGGACATCTTCATACTGTTTAACACTACTTGTTTTACCTCTGCAGAACGGGAAGCCTCTATCCCCAAGAACCATTGAATAACCAAGCTCTGAGATGAAGAATTCCCAGATTGGGTTGAAGAGTCCAAATGGGGTCCTAAGACAACAGGTGGGGAATGGACAAAAAAGACAACACTAAGGGTAGGTCTACACTTACCCGGTAGTTCGGCGGCAAGCAAATCGAACTTCTGGGTTCGACTTATAGCTTAGGTGGTACCGAGGTATGCTTGGTACCATAGCTCTTTGAAGAGCAAGGAGTACTTAGGAGCCTGGAACCTAAGCAGTACCCAGTCTAGGACATGAGATCTCTGATTTGATTTCTGAGGACACAGAGGCTTTTTTGAAACAGACTCTTTATGAGGAGAACTCTAACTTCATTTCTTGGGGCCCTTCCCAGTACCCTCTGATGTCTTTTGCCATGAAACTCTGGATGAACGAGGTGTGGAGGTTAATGCTGCACTATACTTGCTCAGAGACTGATGTACGGGGCAGGTATCTTGGCCTGGATCCAAGGCAAAGGAAGTGTTCCATCATAAGGAGTCTAAGCGTAATTTCCCTATATTTTTCTAGCTATGCTTTTAAAAGTTGAACAAATATTGCACTTTTGTTGGATATGCATGTCCCCCAGACAACAAATGCACTGAAAATGAGTGACCACCACTGATCGGGATAGATTACCAGCAGGTGAGGTAGTGCTTGCATCCTAGAGACCCTGCCATACCCTGGTTACAATTGCCAAGGGGAAACTCGCAGGTAGGGAGGAGGGGAAGAGAAGGGATACGGATTGGAAAAATAACCCTCAAATGAAGTAAAGAAATTAGAATATAATACTTAAAGTAGAAATCAATAACCACACTAAACTAAACACTAGAGGATGCTAAAGCTAAGCTTTGGGCAAAGCAGTGGGCATGACAGACCCTTCATTTCAGGCAGAGGCAGCTGAGAAGGAACTGGGAGTGGTTTGCTCCCGTAACTCTATATAGCCTCAGGGTATGTCTACATTACAAAATTAGGTCGGATTTATAGAAGCCGGTTTTATAGAAACCGGTTGTATGCAGCCGATTGTGTGTGTCCCCACATAAAATGCTCTAAGTGCATTAGTTCGGCGGACCGCGTCCACAGTACCGAGGCTAGCGTCGACTTCCGGCGCATTGCACTATGGTAGCTATCCCACAGTTCCCGCAGTCTCCGCCGCCCATTGGAATTCTGGGTTGAGACCCCAATGCCCGGATGATGCAAAACAGTGCCGCGGGGGGTTCTGAGTACCTGTCGTCAGGCCCCTCCCCCGCCGTCACAGCAACGGCAGACAATAGATTCGCGCCTTTTTCCCTGGGTTACCTGTGCAGACAACATACCACGCCAAGCATTGAGCCCGCTCAGCTCAGCTCACCGTCACCATATGTCTTCCGGGTGCCGGCAAACGTGGGACTGCATTGCTAAACAGCAGCAGCAGCTTACTGCCTTTTGGCGGTAGACGGTGCAGCATGACTGGTAGCCTTCATTGGCGATCTGGGTGCTGGCAGCCGTGGGGCTGCATTGCACCAGCCCCTTGCCTTTTGGTAGAAGATGGTTTATTACGACTGGTAACCGTCGTCGTCGTCGTACTGCAGTGGCTGTCAATCATGGGCACCCGGGCAGACAATGATGGTTATCAGTCGTAGTATGCTATTTTCTGCCACGCGCCCTGTTGGCTCATTGCACGTTAGCAGAGTCGTAGTATGCTGCTATTTTCTGCCAAGTGCCCAGTATTGTCTGCTAAGCACCCAGAAGAGGCCGATGGCGATCTGGGTGCTGGCAGACATGGGGCTGGCAGACGTGGGGCTAGATTGCTACACAGCAGCAACCCCTTGCCTTTTGGGCAGAAGATAGTATATTACGACTGGTATCCATCGTTGTCATACTGCAGTGGGTATCAGATGGTGCAATAGACCTGAAGGCTAACTGCCAAGCGCCCAGTATTTGCTGCCAAGCACCCAGAAAATGCCAAGGGCTATCAGTCATGCTGCACCGTCGTCTTAAGATGTAAAAAATAGATTTATTCTGTATTCATTTGCTTCCCCCCTCCCTCCTGCTAAACCCAGG